TTAGAAGGAGAGCAACAAGAAAGTCCCAGTAAGCAGAAGGAAGGAAACTATAAAGATCAGATGGGAAATAAATGACATAGAGGAAAAAATATATATATATATACAAAAGATCAATAAAACCAAGAGCTGGTTCTTTAAAAGGATAAACAAATTTAATGAACCTCCAACCAGGCTCACCATTAAGTAAAGTGAGAGGACCCAAATAAACAAAATCAGAAGTGAAAGAGGGAAAATAACAACACACCCTACAGAAATACAAGGATTGTAAAAAAAAAATAAAATAAAATAAATTACTATGAACAACTCTATTCCAACAAATTGGTCAACCTAAAAGAAATGGACATCTTCCTAGAAAAATACAGCCTTCCACAACTCAATCAGGAAGAATCAAAAAATCTGAATAGACAAATAACTATGGAGGAAATTGAAGCAGTCATCAAATACTTCCAGCAAATGAAAGCCCTAAACCAGACAGCTTCATAGTTGAGTTTTATAAAACATTCAAAGAAGAATTAAACCCTATCCTCCTTAAATTATCCCCAAAAATTCAAGAGGAAGGAACACTTCCAAGCTCTTTCAACGAAGCCAGCATTACCCTAATCCCAAAATTAGATGAAGACACTACAAAGAAAGAGAATTACAGGCCAATATTTCTCATGAACATAGATGCTAAAATCCTCAACCAAATTCTAGCAAATTACATTAGAAAGATCAAACACCATGACAAAGTGGGTTTATTCCAGGGATGCAAGGATGGTACAGTATCTGCAAATCAATAAATGTGATACATCACATGAACAAATTGAGAGATAAGAATGACATAATCCTATCAATTGATGCAGAAAATCATTTGAGAAAATCCAACACACTTTCTTAATAAAAACTCTCAGCAAAGTGGGAATAGTCTTATCTTATATAATAAAAGGGTAATATGCAAATTGACTGAACTGCAGAACAACCGATTGCTATGACATGCACTGACTACCAGGGGGCAGCTCCTGCATTGAGTGTTTGCCCCCTGGTGGTCAATGTGCTCCCACAGGGGGAGCGCTGGACAGTCAGAAGCCCTGAGCTGGTCTCACGGCTGGTGAGTGCAGTGGCGGTGGTGCAAGCCTCTCCTGCCACTGTAGCAGCACTAAGGATGTCCAACTGACGGCTTAAGCCCACTCCAGCAAAACAGTCATAGTAGGGGACTGTAATAACCCATTGACATCAGGGAGCAGGCCTAAGCTGTCAATCCAACATCCCCGGAGGGCTCCTGGACTGTGAGAGGGCACAGGCCATGCAAAGGGACCCCCACAAGTGCACGAATTTCATGCATTGGGCCACTAGTCTATATATATATCCCTAATATGAAAATAGACTGAACAGTGGAACAACCGAACAACTGAACAACTGTTTGCTATAACGTGCGCTGCCCACCTGGGAGTGTGCATGGAACATGGCGGCAGTGGCAGCAGGCAGCAGAGAACATGGCAGGCATTGGCCATGGTGGGATGATGGAGCAGGTGAGGGAGGGTGCAAGACCAAGGTGGGGTACCAGCTGCTGTCACCACAGCAAGCCTCTGGTGATTACTGAAAATTCTTTTCTCCCATGCACCACAGTCCCACCGGGCACTCACACCTGCTGCCAGCACCCAGCGTTGGCCCCGATTGCTCAGCGCCATCAGCGGGTGCAAGTGGTGGCTGCTAGCTCTGATTGCCCCTCAGGGCTTCTCCACCTCCCCTGTTCCTGAGCGGTGATCTGGACCAGCAGCGCCTCTTGCACCCATTGCCAGTGACAGCCCCACTCACACTGCTGCTGGCGCAGGAGTCATTGCTCACACTCACCACTGGCACAAGCCCTGCTTGAACCCACAGTTGGTGCCGGCTCCAATTGCTCCACGCCACCAGTGGGTGGGAGTGGCAGTGGGAGCAGGGCTACCAGCAGAGAGGGAAATGGGGGCCAAATGGGAGGGAACAGGCAGGGGCATGGAGGATGAGCCAAGACCTGCACCTGTGCCCACCACAGCCTCATGGCCCCCAGTTCTTTCAAGGTGCATGAATCCATGCACTGGGCCCCTAGTACATAATAAAAGCCCTATAACAAATCTACAGCCAACATCATACTCAATGGGCAAAAAATAAATTCATTTCCCCTAAGAACAGGAACAAGACAGGGATACCCATTTTCACCACTCCTGTTTGACATAGCACTGGAAGTACTAGCCATAGGGATAAGAGAAGAATAAGAAATAAAAGGCATCCAAATTGGAAAAGAAAAAGTAAAACTGTCATTATTTGCAGATGACATGATATTGTACATAGAAAGCCCTAAACATTCCATCAAAAAACTACTAGACTTAATAAATAAATTTGACAATATAGCAGGATACAAAATTAACACCCAGAAATCTATGACTTTTTTATATACCAATAATGAACTCAAAGAAAGAGAAACTAAAAATCAACCCCATTTATCATTGCGACAACAAAAAAATTAAGATACCTAGGAATAAACTTAACTAAGGAGGTAAAAGTCCTGTACTTGGAAAACTACAGGACATTGAAAAAAGAGGCAGAGGAAGATATAAACAAATGGAAGAATATATCATGTTCATGGATTTGTAGAATCAACATCATTAAAGTGCCCATACTACCCAGAGCAATCTATAGATTCAATGCAATCCCCTTAAAATATCAACAGCATATTTCACAGACCTAGAACAAACTCTGCAAAAATTCATATGGAATAAAAAAGACAACGCATCAACCCTGAGAAAGAAGAACAGTGGAGGGGATCACAATACCAGATATCAAGCTATATTACAAAGCCACTCTTCTGCTATATAACAAAACTACCTGGTACTGGCACAAGAACAGACTTATAGACCAATGGAACAGAACAGAGAACCCAGAAGTCGACCCAAAGCAGTATGCTCAATTAACATTTGTCAAAGAAGGCAAAAGCATGCAATGGAGTCAAGACAGTCTCTTTAATAAATGGTGTTGGGAAATTTGGACAGATACATGCAAAAAAATGAAACTAGATCACCAACTTACACCATACACAAAAACAAACTCAAAATGGCTATAGTACTTAAATGTAAGATGGGAAACCATAAAAATCCTATAAGAGTCCATAGGCAGCAAAATAGCAGACATATGTCATAGCAATATATTTACTGACACAGCTCCTACGGCAATGGAGACTAAGGAGAAAATAAAAAAAAAATGGGACTACATCAAAATAAAAGTCTTCCACACAGCAAAGAAAACCATCAACAAAACAACAAGAAAGCCACTGCATGGGAGAACATATTTTCCAATGATATTTCCGATAAGTGTTCAATCTCCAAAATTTAAAGAGAACTCATACAACTTAACAAAAGGAAGATAAACAATCCAATCAAAAAATGGTCAAAGGATCTAAATAGACACTTTTCCAAAAAGGACATACAGAAGACCCAGAGACATATGAAAACATGCTCAAAGTCACTAATCATTCAAGAGATGCAAATCAAAACAATGAGATACCATCTCACTCCTGTCGGAGTGGCTATCATCAACAAATCAACAAACAAGTGCTGGCGAGGATGAGGAGAAAAAGGAACCCTCCTGCACTACTGGTGGGAATGCAGGCTGGTGCAGCCACTGTGGAGAACAGTACTGAGTTTCCTGAAAAAGTTAAAAATGGAAGTTCCATTTGACCCAGTAATCCCACTTCTAGGACTATATCCTAAGATAACAGAAACACCAATCAGAAAGGATATATGCACCCCTATATTCATAGCAGCACAATTTACAATAGCAAAGATTTGGAAACAGCTTAAGTGCCCATCAGCAGATGAGGGAATTAAAAAACTGTGGTACATCTACACAATGGAATACTACACTGCTATAAAAAAGTAGGAACTTTTACCATTTGTAATGGCATGGATGGACCTGGAGAGCATTATGCTAAGTGAAATAAGACAGTCAGAGAAAGATAAATATCACATGATCTCTCTTTTGTGGAATATAATGAACAACATAAACTAATGAACAAAAACAGATCCAGAGACAGAGAAACACTGAGCAGACCATCAAACCTCAGAGGGAAGGCAGGGGACAGGGGGCAGGGTAAGAGATCAACCAAAGGACTTATATGCATGCATATAAGCATAACTAATGGACATGGACACTGGGGCGGTGGGGGCTTGTCCTGGGGGGTGGGAATGACCAGGGAGGGGTTGATGGGGGGGGGGGAGGGAGGAGACATATGCAATACTTTAAACAATTAAAACAATCCATAATTTTGAAATTTAATTCATTTATCTTTTCTTGTAACCGGATTAGAAAGCATGATTAGCATTGCAGGATATTTTAAAAATATATATATCTTCATTGATTTTGGAGATGAAGGAAGAAGGAGAGAGAAATAGAAATATCAATGATGAGAGAGATTCATTGATTGGCTGCCTCCTGCACACTCCACTAGGGGATCAAACCCACCACCCTGGCATGTGACCTGACTGGGAATCGAACCGTGATCTTCTGGTTCAATGATCGATTCATAGCAAATCTCTTAACCACTGAGCAGAGATAGCAAGATGTTTTTTTACTGGATCAGTATGACTTTGATCAAAGCATATAGATTCTGAAATTTTAAAGTACAAGGAAGAATTGGGCTTCTTAGTCATTCTCCCTTGAGAAATATAAGAACAAAATTGTAAAAAAAAAAAAAAAAAAAAAAAAAAAAAAAAAGACATACACTGTAAAATTTGAAGATAAAAGTAAGAAAACCATTTTACTTTCTTATACAGAAAGTTCTTCCTGTGGCTGTACTTTTACCTTGAATTCTGTTTGATTATATGCTAAGCTACTTTGAATTTAAAAAAATAAAAACACAAATAGAAATCAGGTGTGTATCAAGCACAGTACTGTATCCATGCTTTCCAACTAGCTCTTTGCCACACCCTTTCAAGTGACTGAGTTGGAGATTTTTAAAAGTTGGTGTAGTTATGGGTGTGTGTTGGAGAATGGAGGAGAAACACGGTAATTCTGGGCAGTGCAATGAGTTATGAAAATGATGAGTATGACTTTTGAAAGAGAAGAAAATTTAAATCCCTTGAGATAGATAATCTGATAATTTAGTTTTTAATCATTTGAGATCATGTGTGAGAGAGTGCATTGGGAAGGATGACATTCTACAGAAATGTCACACAGCAGTGGTACTACCACCTTGTACCACAGTGTGCGTGTTGCCCTAGCCTGGAGCCTTTCTGAAACTTTTACACTGGGATTAATTTCAACATAAAGGAATTGTAATAATATGATGGAAAATTACTACTCTATGCTTTTAAAACTAATATAGATCTCAAAAAGATTACAAGAATTGGGGATTACATGAATAGAATAAGATTTTTTAAAAGGCTTTAGGAGAATTGATATTTTGTAGTAAAAGATAATTATGCATTTGTCAGCATAGCAAACATGTGTTTGTTGCTTTTCAAATCTATTTCTTCACATAAAATTTTTATCTTCTGAAACAAACTCAATAGTTCTGGCTATAACATGAATCATTCGCTTATATCTTTGCTGCTAAATAAAGATTAAAATATTTCACATTAAACTTGGTACTGTTTTTATCGGAAGAAGAAGACATTTCCTCTTGATCTTTTACATCCTGAGCTCACTCACTATAAATTTATATGAATCTGATATAATTACAATTAAGTAAGAACTCCCAGTCCTATGTACCCTGTGGGAGAGCTGCTGAGATGTCTTTCAGAGTCCTGTGATGGCTCAGCCCTGAGTACAAGGTCTATAAAATGATGGACTCTGAAATGCTGGACAAGGTAGAGGGAAAGCCGCTACTGCCAATAACACCCAACCTTTAGCCAGAACCAAGTTCTAGTTCAACTGTAAGGGCAAGAACTGGTGAAGCTGAAGGGAAGACTCTCAGTCACCTGGTAAGTATAGAAATGCCTCAGCTTTTCACATATGAAGGAAGTTTCTGAATTCTTTTGTTTGAAAGATTCTTTCCCTCAATATTGTTTTTCAAAATTACTCATTCAATTAGGGTTTTCTTTTCTTTTATTCTTGTATGAAAATCTTGGACTAAAGCATTCAATGAGTACCTATGGTTTTAAAGTTTTCAACGTTTTAAGATATTCTTTTGTCATTGTTGACATTATTATAGATGTCCCCCATTTCCCACATTTTGTCCTCCTCTAGCCATCCGCTGTCCCACCCCAGGTCTGCATAGCATTACTCCCTGCTGTGTGCATGGCTATGCACACATGCATGTAAGTTCTTTGATTCATTTCTTCCAGTCCTTCCCCTAACTCCTTCCCGCTGAGATCTGTCAGTCTGTTCCAGGTACCCATGCCTCTGTACCTATTGTGTTCCCTAGTTTATATTGTGTCAGCTTGTTTTCTATGTCATAGGTTAGTTATGCAAACCTAAAAAAAAAAGCATATACTTTTCTCTTTATTTTAAGTTTAAAAGGCTTAATTTTTAAAGGCAGAAAGAGAAACACACCTTGAACTCCTAATTTTCTAGATAAAAGCTACTTAGAAATGTAATGTATATGATGAGCATTGTATGTACAAAGCTCAACTGTTATTTTTAAAATATTTTTATAGCCAAATTATTTCAATGATGACATGTCTAATAATTTTGTAGTATTGATTATTACTGATTATTTTGTTTAGCCATGCAACTGCAGATATAAATAAATAAAAACTTAGTCATAGGTATAATTAAAAGTCAAAAAGTCAAAAGAATGAGAAAGGGATCTGATATACATAGACATAGATGTATAAAGAAACAAATAGAGATATAGGTATGTACAGGTATATAAACATACATAAATATATACACACATATTATTAAATAGGTGATATCCTAATATTATACTAGAGAGAGGCTACAAGGTAATGCAGAAGAAACAAACAGTTTTTTTGAAACTGTTAGAAAAAGATACCTTGTGCCTGGTAAGAAATGTACAACAGTTGAAAGGGATCCTAATTTTTACTCAAGCACCTGTCATTGCGAGAAATCTTTTTTATTTAAAATGGAATCATAATGCAGTTTAATTTATTTTGTAAAATGAAAACATTTTTTCTAACTCTGCAAAAACCTTCAGAAACTTCTGTGACACACTCAGAATCACAGGGCATCTTTCTGAAAATTATGAAAACACTTACTTGTAAAGATGATGAGTACAAGCCATGTTTATTGAAGTATTATTCACTGTGGTCAAGACATGGAAACAAGATATGTGTTCTTTCAAGGATGATTGGAAAAAGAGGTAGTGGTACACATATACTATGTAATATTACTCAGCTATATAAAGAATGAAATATTGCCATTTTTGACAACATGGATAGATCCTAACAGTATCATGCTAAGTGAAATAAGTGAGGCAGAAATGTTCAGAACCATATAATTTCACCATTTGTGGGATATAAAACAGAAAGCAACAAATGAACAAAAAGCAAACAAGCTCATAGACACAGACAACACTATGGTGGTTACCAGAGAGGAAATGGGATTGGGGAGGATGAATATACAGATACACACAATGCAATATACAGATACTGTATTATACAATTGTACAACTGAAATGTATATAATCTTATTAACAAACTAGAGACCCAGTGCACAATATTTGTGCATGGGTTGGGGGGCCCTCAGCCCAGTCTGCACCCTCTCCAATCCAAGACTCCTTGGGGGATGTCCGACTATCAGCAGTAGGACATCCCTTTCACAATCCTGGACCGCTAGCTCTTAATTTTTCACCTGCCTGCCTGCCTGGTCGCCCCTCACTGCCCCTCCTACCAGCCTAATCACCCCCAACTTCCCCCCTTCCAGCCTGGTTGCCCCCAAATGCACCCCCCCCCGCTGGCCTGGTTGCCCCTAACTGCCCCCCCAGCTGGTCTGGTTGCCCCCAACTTCCCCCCTCTGCTGTCCTGGTCACCTCTAACTGTACCCCCTTCCAGCCTAGTCACCCCCAACTGCCCCACCACCAGCCTGGTTGCCCCACACAGCCTGCTGTTCAGTCATTTGGTCATCCCTCACTAACCACCCTGCTGACCTGCTCGTAGGCAGCCATCTTGTGAGGGCATGCGGGTCAATTCGCATATTACCTCTTTATTATATAGGATAGGATATCATCCCATTGAATTAAAAAGAAAAAAATCACCACGCTGGTGAGATCTATGGTTGGAAAATATGATGTGACTCTCTCACTTTCCAGGTGCAGAGATGGAAACCAAAAAGAATTCCCAGCTCCTCATGCCCCTGATCCTTCTCAGCGTGCTCTTCTCACAAACACTGGCCTTTCCTCCTGTGGAAGCAAAAGCGCTGAGGTAAGTTCCCTTTCAATCCAGACAGTTGAACCTTCTGTCTTCATCAAAATGAGAATTTCCTCCTCAATGGCCACCATCAGTCTATTCTCTGGGTCTATGAATCAGTTCTATTTTGTTTGTTCATTTATTTTGTCCTTTGGATTCCACATACAAATGAAATCATATGCTATTTGTGTTTCTCTGACTGTAATGCAAAAAAAAAAAATGAATTAAAACAGGAATTTATTTTTTGTTATTTTGGATAACTCAGTTTTTAATTTACTGATTTTTATTCAAATATTAGTTTGATATGTTAACCAAGATCTTTTTACCTCAGGTTACCACAATTAGTCTTTTGTATAATCCCTTACTGAAATTGTATTCATACATAAGATTACAAACCAAAAGGCTACATGCTAATTAAATGAGTGACTATTCAGCAATGGAGCCATTCTCTCTACCTGATCAACACAGAGAAACATCACGCCAACGTGAAGTTGAGTGTTGAGACTTGCCATTCTCTCTACCTGATCAACACAGAGAAACATCACGCCAACGTGAAGTTGAGTGTTGAGACTTAAAGAAAAGTGCTTGTGGAATGATTCAGCTAAATGCTACTAAACATCAATAAATACTCAAAGTGCTCCCAGATTTCATATAGATTATTAATTTTTTTTCAAAATTTCTATTGTGCATATAGTCTTCCTTCCTGTGAAATTTAACTTCTCAAAGGGAAGATATTACCAAGGCGGTGAACATGGCTTAATGCTCTGATCAAATTGAACCGTGTAGCTCTTATGCTTGGTTAAAGCAGCTTATAAAAGTTGTAATGGCATCAATTTCTGGGATAAACAGAATTGTACTACTTATACACTCATAAACTATAGAAACCATTGTCAATTATACTACCCATCATTTTTAAATGGTGATAATTCCCAAGATTTTGAGTGTCTTATTTCAAATTATTGTAAAAACATGAGTGTTATATTGTGAGAAAGAATTTTATTACACTTGGTGACAGAATATCATTTGAAGGAGAAAATTAACCTTGATCAAGCTTTATTACAAGGAGACCCTCAGTGGTTGCAAGTTGCATTAGCTGAAAATGGCAGATGTGCTCATTTTTAAGGAATAGTGTTTAAGAAAATGTACCTTTGAAATATAAATGTTTTATTTTTGTGTCTCCATGAAGCTATTTCTGCAGTGTAACACTGCATGTTTCCACATATCATGGCTTCATCCAGCCTCATTTATGGCAGCTTGTGGCCCCTGTACATGACTTGCATGCAGAGGCTGTAACATGGAACAAGCCAGGGTGAACTAATCACTCACTTACATTTTGTTGCACAAAATGTCAATTCAGAAATTGCACCAATTCCAGGAAAACTTTCACCTTCAGTATTCCAGGTTAGAGGAAGTCTCATGTCTGTCTAAAGAAAAGATGTCTAATGAGAACAGCTATTCATTCACAGAGCAATGGGTCAAGAGCAGCATTGAAGTATAGACAGAGTAACTCTCTACTAAAGACAAAGAATAGAAGCTTAATCATAGAAGAAAAATCTTGGTTCCTGAACCCTAAGGTCCTCTCTATGCTAAGAAATTTTGATTCCAAATAGTTTGGAGAAGAAATAGCAAAAGATGTAATAAAGTTTTTGGTAAAATCAAGATAGTTTCTTTTTTGTATATGTTTTGAATCTAAGTAGCGGAATCAATCACCATAGATAAATAAATGAAATTAAATTAATTAAACAAAAACTAATTTAAATATATTTTCCCCACCAATGTGTCTCAGAGAAGAATTAGTTTTATTTTTATGGATTCTGTTAGGGAGCATTATTTAACACTGACATAGAATTCTAAAAAGGTATATTTTTAATTTTACAAAATTTCGGATTTCAAATATAGAGTATATTTTTATATAAAATGACAAGAAATATATTTTATTAGGTTGTTAGGGAATCTCCTTTTGGATTTAACTTTACATAAAAGGCTTTTCCTAATAAGCTGATGAATTTCCTTCTTATTCATTTAGACAAAATAATATTTTAAAATCATTTTTATAATAATGGGTAGGCTGTCTTCCTTGTTTCAGGAATGTCAGACATGCTGATGGAGTTTCCAATAGTGACATTAGTAGTCTCTTGGGTCAACATTCCGACAATAAGTACCCTGAGACCATTATTAAAAAATGAGTGATGTAAAGAGAATTTATTATTTTTATGAAACACATTATGTTAATTAATAAGAAAATTATATTGTCACTGTCAATAATTCATTTACTTTGTTGCAATTTGATAATCCTTGATAAAGTTCAATTTAGTTAGGTATACCAGGCCCATACATTAGGAAATACGACTTTGTATTATTAACATGCTCACTGGCTTCTCAGACACTTATATTTTCTTGGGAGCAATTATTTGTAAATCTACAATCAAACTGAAGTAGACATAGTGAAAAATAAATAAGACTTAGCATAAAGTGAAACAAATTTTAAGGTAAACCATAGTACTCATTTTAAAATTTTCTGCTCAAATCAAGCATCGGAAGGTTCTTTGTTTAAATGGCCAATAGCTCAATATAGAGATGGTGGCATAGATTCTAAAGGAGTATTTATTTTTAAAGAATATTTCCTCCCAGTGGCAGAACATAACTACAAAGAGTTCCCCATTCACATATATATATTTTTATAAAGCCTTTGCTCAGTTAGTACAGAATGTCTTAAGCATCCCAGAAAATGCCTAATGTGTAGGATTATTTCTCTTTTCCCGATTTAGGCTGAGGGGTATATTTCTTGTAGCATAATTGTGACAGAAAATAAGTGGAGTATTGGAATTCCTTTTTAGCTGACACCAAGAAACCTAGAATTTTATCATTTTTTGATAAAGCCTTTTGTTTGCTTTCCCTCACTTTTCTTAGCAATGACGTCTCAGAACGCCAGGGACCAATAAGACGCCAAGTAGATTTAATTCTCATTGACATCTATACCCGCTTTCCTCAACAAACCCCTGAGAATGAACACTTGCAGGATGTGCTTGGGAAAAAGAGGTAAAAAACAGCAAACTTGCCGACTTGAGAAATTACAAATGATTTTCAAAATAAAAGCTACATATGGAGCCTTTCCTACCTCCCTGTCTCTCTATCTATTCTCTGAAGCAGGAATTCTCAACCTTGGCTGCCATTATACAACCCTGGAGAATATCTAAAATGGCATGTTTAGGTCATACCCAAAATTCATTGCCAGGAAATTAGTGCCTCTACAGATATGACTCTAGACATGGGTATTTCTTAAGACTTGCCAGGTAACTATATTGTGTCTCCAAGGATAAATAAGATGACTATAGTGGCATCTACCCTGAATCTAGAAGCAAGTTTTAACAAAAGTGCTGGTTTTTAAACATGGAAACCCCAATCAACTAGCAATTTGGTATCACATGGATCTCCCTGTATGTGCATTTCAACTCCCTTATTTTACTAAATTAAGCTCTGAGTTATTTTGTCTTCTGAGACTCAGTAAGGACTGAGTCTGTCTGGGGTGTGTAGACATTGGAGCACAATACATAGGAACTGGGATGCTCTCCCTTTCTATTGCAGTTATTATTGTGTAGATGGTGAGTGTTAGGGAAAATACTAGTTGAGTGAGAACGGACAGAATGACACACTTTGTCCAATCCTATATAATAAAAGTGTAGTATGCATTTTGTCCCCTCAACTGGGAGTTCATCATAGAGTTCAACCAGGGGGCAAGGCCAGCCTGCCAACTGCCTGCAGTCCCTCCCCACTTTTGGCCCCACCCAGATCATCCCTCCAACCTGATTGGGGGCAGGACTGGCTGGCCAACCTCCCACAGTCCCTCCCCTCAACCGGCCCTGCCTGATCCACCCCGATCGGGGCAAGCCAGCTGGACTCTACCCATGCTAGAATTCGTGCAACAGGCCTTTAGTAGATTATAATTATGAAAGAATAATTTTAGCTCCTTTAAGGTTAAGGACCACTTCATAATAATTACTAGCATTATACTTAATTATTTAGAGAATTTTACAGGTTACATATCATCATTTCTTTAGATGCCTTCTCATCTTATAGCCTTAAAATGTACTTTTTCTCTTCCTGGCCTCAGTAAGAAAAAATTTTAGGAATTAAAGATGATTTAAAAAAACCTCTTTGGAACAAAGCTGATGACAAATTTTCAGTGGTGAGTACATCTATGCATTCTTATCGTATTCTTACAGCAATTATCCAGCTATTTCAGTAGGTAAGAGTCTCTTGGTAAGAAGTATCCTAGATTTGTTCACAGTGAGACCTCATGTAAGAATGACACTCCTACATGTAGTGAACTGGGAACCAGGAAATGGCATCAAATGATTCATGCAGGTTCTGACTGCATAAAGGAGAAAAATCACAACCAGTAAAGAGTTTTTTTATTTTCTAGTTTACTCAGACATATTCCTACCCTCTGTTCAGATATAAAATGGAAGAGGACTGACCCACACCACATAACGAGAAAACTGGCTTTCCTGTTGAGATCAAGGCATATTGCTTTAAGGATTCATCTGATGATCAACTGCCAGCATCTTATTTAGTACTAGAGGCCCGGTGCACAAAATGCATGCATGGGTAGGGTCCCTAGGCCTGGCTGGTGATCAGGACTGATCGGGGCCTTCCATCTGCTGGCCAGGACCTCCCTTCCCCAGCTGCTGGCTGGGACCTTTCTTTGGTGGTCAGCACACATCATGGCGAACAATCAGTCTCCCAGTCAAACCCCTATAGGGACAATTTGCATATTAGGCTTTTATATATATATATAGATAGATAGATAGATAGATAGATAGATAGATAGATAGATAGATAGATAGATAGATAGATAGATAGATAGATAGATAGATAGATAGATAGATAAGTACAGGGAAAGGCCACCAAATAACAGCAAGGCTTGTTGAGGTGAAAATACAAAGGGATTCTGGGTCAAATTGTATTCCTTGAAACATAGCAAGTTTCTTGCAGAAAAAGTCAAATTCAGCTTCTTTTACCTATAGAGTGTAGGTACTATGATTGCAATAGTGTTCACTGTCAAAGATTTTTCCAGGAGAGAAAACATAAATAGGTTTTTTCCCTTTGTTTAGTGATAAACTTGTTATCACAATTGTTTTTATATATACATATCACATTTCTTTTCAGAATACATTAAAGTTTAAAATAGCTCATAAAATATGTTTGTAATACTTGGCTTCCCTCCCTAGATGCCCTGCAAAGAAGAAAGGATATAAAATCAGCCGCCAAGTGGCTCCTGACAACCAGTAGGAATGTCAGCAGGACTGATCCGGATCCTAGGCTGGCAAGGGCATCCTACCACCTGCCCAGAGGGCCGATCGCATCCCACGCCCCCCACCCCCTTGGTTACCCACCTGTGCACAAATACATGCATTAGGCCTCTAGTATTCTATATAATAAAACCCTAATATGCAAACCGACCAAATGGCAGAATGACTGGTTGCTATGATGCACACTGACCACCAGGGGGCAAATGCTCCACCAGGAGCTGCCCCCTGGTGGTCAGTTCGCTCCCACGGTGGGGGGGCGGGGGGGAGCGCCACTCAGCCAGAAGCCAGACTCCTGGCTGGCGAGCACAGCGGCCATGGCGGGAGCCTCTTCCACCTCTGCTGCAGGCGGGCGGTAAAGAGCGAGTCATCCCAGACTGCAAGAACCCCGGACTGCGAGAGGGATGTCTGACTTCTGGCTTAGGTCTTATCCCCAGAGGGATTGGGCCTAAGCTGGCAGTTGGACATCCCCCAAGGAGTCCCGGACAGTGAGAGAGCACAGGCCGGGCTGAGAGACACACCCCCACAGTGCACAAATGTCATGCACCGGGCCGCTAGTTTAATGATAAAAATACTAGGCTAATACACATTCTATTAGGTTTTTTTGGAAGTGTAATAAATAAACAAAATTGATCTGTTTACTTATACAGGTTCCTTAACTATTCAGATAGTAGAGCAGATAATAATTTATGCAAATTTTCATGTTAGAATGCTGTGCTAAATAAATCTAAAAGTGTCTCAGAGAACACTGGCAGGCTTGTGTCACTGATTAGAGCAATGGCTCACACACTGATGGGTCTGGGGTTCAATTTTCGGTTGAGGACAAATACCTGGATTGCAGGTTCAATTTCCAGTCCCAGTTCATAAGGGAGGCAAACAATCTACTTCCCTCTCTCTCTCTCTCTCTTTCTCATCTCGTTCTCTGTCTGTACCTGGCTCTCTCTCTCCCTCTTCCTTTAACTTTCTCTAAAAAATATATAATCAAATAAAATAAAAGTAATGTATCTAGAACCTCAAAAACTATAACATAAATCAGGAACTACATGAATAGAATAAAAATAAAATAGACTTTAGGAGATTGGATGCTTTATAATAAAAAACTGTATACATTTGTAAGCATAAAAATATGGTTTTTTATTTGTGAATCTACCGAACAATGAAATTTTTGTTTTCTGAAGAAAACTCATTGGTACTGGTTATAACATTAATCATTCACTTATAACTTTGCTGCTAATTAAAGTTTAAATGTTTCACATTAAAATTGATACCATTTTTATCTAAAGAACAGGACATTTCCTCTTGATCTTTTATATCATAAACTCACTCACTATAAATTTATATAAATCAGCTATAATGACTATTAAGTAAGAACTCTCAGTCTTATTCTCCCTGGGGGAGAGCTGCTGTCACTTTTTTTCAGAGTTTTGTGATGGTTCAGCCCTGGGTACAAGGCCTTTAAAATGATGGGCTTTGAAGTGCTGCTCAAGGTAGAGTGACAGCAGCTGTTGGCAATAACACCCAACCCTTAGTCAGAACCAAGTTCTAGTTCAGCTATAAGGATGAGAACTGGTGGAGCCAAAGGGAAGACTCTCAGTTACCTGGTTTACAAGAAATACTTCAGGTTCTCACATGTGAATGAAGTTTCTGATTCTTTGGCTAAAAAATGCTTTTCCTGCTTCTCTTTGACTCAATACTTTTTAAAAACACTATTCATTCAAATAGGTTTGGGGGTTTTTGTTTGTTTGCTTTTACATAAATTTATTTTTTGTTGTATTTAAATTTGATTGAGAGATTCAGTGGGTACATTTGTTTTGAGATTTTAAATGTGTTTTTATAGTTTTGATTTCTCTATGTCATGTGTTGGTTAAATGAATGTAAAAATTAGTTATTTTCCTCTTTATTTTAAGTTAAAATGCTTTCATTTTTATAGGCAGAAAGAGAAACACCTTATATTTCTAAGTTTGTATCTCAGCACTACATAGAAATATAATGTATATGTGGATTAGATGTAAAAATATAAACTTTGTTTTTAATATACTGTTCTTTTTATGGCAAAATTATTTCAATGAGGATATGTGATTTAATGATGTGTTGATATTAATTTTTACTTTTAATCAAGTTAAGTTTTTCAAATGCAAGCATTAAAGAAATAGTTTCAGTAATATCTACAATGAAAAGCCAAAAATGTATATACAAAACAATTTTTGTATATACATATAGATATTTATATAGATATGTATAGGTATATACATGCACACATATATATACACATTTTTAAATATATGATATCCCAGTTTTATATTAGTCAGATGGTAAAACTGTAGAATAAACAATCAGTTTTTTTGTAATTGTTAAAAAAGATACTAAACCTATATGTCACAACTCGGTTAAAAGCAGATGGTCCCCACAGTTACCTCCAGGAATGTAAGAGTATGGCATTCAATAAATACTTTGGCCAACTATGTGCCTGGTGAGAGGCGGGCAGCCGTTGAAAGGGACTGTGATTTAAGCACCTGTCACCGAGAGAAATCCTCTTGATTAAAAAGGAATCAGCCACAACCGGTTTGGGTCAGTGGATAGAGCATCAGACCTTGGACCAAAAGGTCCATTCTATGTACTTTGGTTGCAGGCTCCTCTCCAACCTGGGCCCCAGTCTGATCAGGGCCATGCAAGAAGTAACCAATCGATGTGTTTCTCTCACATTGATATTGCTCTCCGTCTTTCCCTCTC